CATGTGAGGTGGTGCAGGCTCCCACCCTGGGGGGTTTTAAGAGGAGGTTGGATGACCACCTTACTGGGGTCATTTGACCCCAGTGCTTTTCCTGCCATGGCAGGGGGTCGGACTAGATGATCTGCTCAGGTCCCTTCCGACCCTAGAAACTATGAAACTATGAGTATTTGTGTTGCAAAAAAGGCTAACAGTATACTGGGGTATATTAACAGACGTGTCAGTGACAAATCAAAGAAAGTGATTCTTCCACTGCATTCAGGACTGGTGTGGCCTCACGTCAAGTACTGTGTCCAGTTTGGGGCCCCACACTACAAGAAGAATATGAACAGATTGGAAAGGATCCAGAACAAAGAAACAGGGTTGTAACCAAACCCTGGGTGTGATGCCTAATTATGCCCCAGGCCAGAGCTATGTCAACAAGGTCTGACTCGCTGTTAGGCCTGTGCGAGTAGGCAGCTATTCAATCCAGCTTTGGATCTGGCTGCTTCGGATACCAGGGGTCTGTGGCAGGGCACTGTTGGTGCCTGCCACTTTAAGATCTAGGCCAAGCAGCCAGCAGGTGCCTGATTGCGGCAGCCATTTTAGATTCAGGACTGTGTATATAAGCAGAGCATTTTTGCTACTGGCAGGCCAGGCAGCAACATTGACTGGCTGGAAGACTTCATGGAACATTCTGAAGGTAAAGGAGGGGCTGTAGAGGATGGCTAGGAGCTTCCTGGTCCTGGGCATGAACTAAAACTGTACTCTGCTGGGAGTGGGTGGCCTGGTGGGGCTCTCAGTGGTGTGGATGTCCCCAGGAAATGCCAGGCCAGTGATCACCCCAGTGAAAGGTGAGAAGGGGCACTTTAACCCTAACCCTTACCTTTGGGTGGGTTTGCATAAAATCAGAGGTAGTGGGGGCTAGGAATGGCTGCAGCCACCTGACCCCTTGGGGTCTTGCACCCCACAGGAGGGAGAGTGAGGGCCAGACATGGCTGCAGCCACCTGAGCCTTGTGGGGGTGCAAGACCCTGAGGAAAGGTGGTTGGGGGGAAGGCATGGCTATGGCCACCTGAGCCCACTGGGAAGGGGAGCCCCATGGCCCCAAGTGAGGGGGTGATGTGGAGTCCTAAATGAGGGGGGCAGAGGAGGAGCCCTGAGTGAAAGGGAGTAGGCCAAGGTATGTTTCTAGACACCTCAGGCTGTAATTTGGGCCAGAGGCCATGTAAAGGGGGCTCAGCCTGAGAAAGAGGGGTGAGTCCTGAGCCCAGTAAATCCTCCAACACTGGGAGGCTGAGTGTGGGTCAAAAGCAAGATCTATAGTGAGCACAATGACATGCTTCTCCTGGGTGGGGAGTGAGAGTCCCCGTGAGACCCTAAAAC